GCGTGCATAATAACGCCAGTAATATACCTCATAACAAAGAGATTCCACAATACCGTGTTTCTTCTATATTGATGTAATTAGTTCTACCTAGTACTGGTGATCTGAATGTTATTCCGAACATGAACTTTCCGAACAATTATATATGTGGATTCAGGATTAAGGAACACGAATCATCTATAATCGTAATTTTAAAATCATTGTCATTCAGTTGAAATTAAGATGGTGTGGCAAACTTAACACTTAACACAATTTAGATCAAAATGGGATGTTTCAAGATGCAAGGACATGCTGCAGGCAGGAATGAAAAAATATTTGTATTTTACATCTCAGCATTGAGAGTTAATGTTGCAGGTACATTGAGCTGGATCCAGAAATAAATGCGAATTATGGGAGGTATCCATCTGCCTGGTAATGCATGAAGTATTTGGATCCGAAGTACCCATATAATCGCTTACATTAGAATATATTTGTCACAGTGTCACTAGCACGTTTTAAATGGAAAGAGCACAGGTAGGATTTTAACGCCAGAAATAAAGATATCTACGTCATAGTTTTTCATGACCCTTTAGAATTTATTGACCATTTTCATCGTTATACATGTATGGGTATTTATATATTGTTTTTACAAACAAAAAAGGTAATATCACATCGACTAATTTAAGGTAGCGTAACTATTATTTGCATACTTGTTTTCATCTTTTAATTGTGACTAAATGACTACAAAAAGGTCCAGGAAAGTATACATGTTTGGAATTGTCAGACTTCAAGCTTTTCAAAAGTGTGTTTCTTATGCTCGTATCTGCATTCTATGACGCGATACTCAATCAAAGGTAAAAAAAAATACTTTCCCTGTAAAAAAAATAATTCACACATTTTTGCTGGTGATAAGAATTTTTTCACTTTTCCTGGTTGTTCGATAGTCTGATAAATTGAATGTGTCTTGTCAGTTTTATTCAAGCAATGCGTTTTAAAAGTAGTGTGCTGATTTTTAATTTCCGTTTTAGTTGCATTGCCCCCAACTCAAAATAGTTTGTCTGGACACATTCAGGTTCCTCTCATTGTCACCTTGAAGCTGTGAAAATTCGGTTGTAATCCGACGACAATAAGTATACGTTATTTTTGTTAAAGACCTTGTATTTAAAAAAAAATAAACTCCTAGAAAACGTCTATGAAAGCGCAGCAAAGATTTTCAAGCTTGTTTATCTGCACAATCGATTTGTTTTCACTTCAAGGTCTGTTTTAACATGTGTGGGGGCATCCAAATGTGTAAGGCTATTGGAAACCGGAAAAAATAAAGGAATGGGATAGCTATATTTCGATAAAATCGGCAGATGAGAACATCAAAATCAATGATTTTTTTTCAGTGGCTGTGTGACCTTGTGTCTGACATATTCATATGCAAATGATTAATCTGTGAAACAAACAGGGGTGGTGACAACCCACTCAAGTGTTTGGAAACACTCACTGTGTGTCATAAAACTACTGATAACACATCCTAACATTGCTTTGTTTTGAGTTAATCTTTGAAAATTATAGACACACAGATTAAACCTGTGTTGTTGATTTTGGAAGACACTACTGAGGCTACCTTGCTTCCCTTCAGAAATTCAACATTTTAACCAACTTACATGACATTCTATGTTATGTTGAATTTATCAGATGAGAGTTCATAGTGCATTTCATCAATTAATAAATAAATGTGAAAATCGTAATTTTCAACACAAATAATAGTCTTGCTACCTTAACATATATGATGTTACTATTAGTTTGGGTTGGTAGCGTCGGTGCAATCGCAAGAATAGGGATGAACATTAGTTGCTATACCTAGGTCGCCAGTCACGCAAAGAGAAAAATAAACGATGAGCAGGAACAGTCTGAAATATGTAAAACAAATATGTGCTCTACAATTTGTGGCATTTATTTGAGTATTTCAGTGATTCTGTTAGTTTTATTTACCCACCTGAGGTCAGATCTGCAATTCGTACGGTCATCTGACCGGTCATATATTGTGCACGTTTCCCATTGAATCATCTTGATTTCTCAGGTATATAAGTTGGTGTTTTTCGGGGGTGGGTCACTGATTTTTCTGCAATTGTTGGGGGGAGGGTTATAGTAATCTGTGCAGGCATCGGGGAGGGTCGCAATTGTTACGTACGAGTACTGCTGGATTCAAACTCACAGATTTATTGTATTAACCTATATCTTAGACATGCCTGGACCGATTATATTCAAACTTCACACGTACATCATACATAATATTATACAATTTTTTTGCTATCTGATTCAAGATGGCCGAATGACGGCCATTTTTGTGCTGAAAAAAGTCATTAAAATTAAACATTTAGGGATGGATTTTGTTCAAATTTGTACATACATTTGACAATATGGGACCTTGTTGGAAGTCATTTTATTTATCAAATTGGATTCAAAATGGCCGACTGGTGGCCATTATGTTTTAATGAAAGCAGCTCTAGTGCCATATCTCTGACATGCTTTGACTGATTATGTTTACGTTTTACATATTCATTATACTGTACATCGTGTTATAAATATATAGATGTATCAAAAATGGTCAAATGGTGGTAATTCAGTTTTAATTAATGCCGTTCCAGAGCAATATATTTTAATATTGGCAAGTACTCGATAAAAGATGACTGAATGCCAACCCTTTTAATCATAATCAAGCACCAGCTTCTGGATCCATATCTCTGACATGTTTATGTTTCAACTATATTACTATAAACAAAACTGTTTATCTTAAATGTAATAACTATTGGGGACTGTGCCATACATGGCTTGTTATACTGTGTGGTGGGCAAGTCTTCCAACATGCTTTGAATAAAAGGCTTCTCGATAATTAAGCAACTATTACTAGAACGTTAACTCGTTAGACCAGTAAAATGTTGCTGAATCTTAGTGTTGTTATATAAAGGGTGTATATCTAGAGTATGTAATAAGAATATAGAATATTAAAAATAGTGGTGGCATTGAACATGTGTATCTCGTATTTTTAAGAAAGCACAGGATTCAACACACAACACTCAGTGTGTGTAATATGGGACATAAACAATATCATACGATGTTCTTGTCTCAATGATTGGGGTAACTGAATGAAGTAGAAAAGTTCTAAGCTGTGACTACTTCAATTACTTTGTATATATAATTGTAATAGATGTACTATCCTTTCACTCACAAGGTAGAAGATCACAATTTGTCATGCACCATTCAAAGGGAGGTCTGTGTGTTTGTGAAGGGTCATATATTTTTTGTACGCGACTTTCCAAAAACACCGGCCTATCCCCCGTACTTTCTGTCCAGTCCCTTAAAAGAATGTATCTATAATGTTTGTGCACGAGGCTCTACAGCAGCAGTAACCTAAATTAGAAGCAAATATGATGAGTCGAGACCTTTGAAACCTTGGCCTTGGTTGGTGTCTATTTTGACAATTAAAGTAGAAATTGAATATATATAATTATTATCGACCTATTAGAACTATAAAATGTAATATGTCGACAGGTAACGAGATAAAAGTGTTATAGCTACTACCATATTTGCTTGGTACTGTAACTTACTACTTTCACCACAATTACATGCTCCTATTACGTTTTTCTTATGGAATCAAAATTGCATTGAAAGGATCTGTCAAAAGGTCACCGCATGAATTTTTATATTGCGATCATCAGTTTGTTAAATGGGATTTCCAAACGAAAGAATTCACGCCCGTTATTTTAATTAGTTCTACATCCGAGGAAATATATCATCCAATCATGTTGGGCGTAATTAAAAAGTCACAAATTCACCCAATGAAACATCCGTCTGCTGCTTATATGGTTCGTGTACACGGACCAGGACTATGAAATAAATTGTAGATATTACAAACTCCAGCGCCTTATTCATACTCTTAAATTTGCACACGTTTCTAAATATCTCTGAGGTTTCTGGAAATCAGCTAGCCTCGTAGAAACTTTACTTGTATTGCCTGAAGAAAATTAGACCTTCTTGTTTAAGACACGGATATTATGTCGGTCCTTGCTGTGTGTGCACCCATGGTATGGGTTGGCATCTTTCTCTCTGGAACACAGCTCTGTACAGGACCAGTGAATAAATTCAATTTCCAAATAGTTTTCTGGCAACGAGAACTTTGACTTCCCAGAAATGTTTGAGTGAATACCCCCTACGTTGTCATGGATTAATCAGACGATATTACGTCACGATGCTACAATTTAGTTGGCAGCCATATCCGCGTGAGGGCGTTTTTATTTAGAACAATGGGAGGCATGTAATAAACCCTTAGTGTTCAACGAATACACAAATTTCAACAACAACGAATACATTTTAATTAACAGCACATACACACAATATTAGACAACTATCTAAATTCGCAACATTAACATTCCCTTCAACTTATAAAATAGAAGGGAAAGGGCAAAATACATACACAATATAGTCGTAACGTAATATTGAATTGTATATCTGGCTCATATGATTCATCATTTATGGGGAAATATCTACTTCATTTGTGACAGATAATGCACCCCATTTCTCGGTATTAGACATGTTAGCTTAGTCCAGCATTGATTTGTGAGACACAATGACAAATCTTTTTCAAACGATTGATTGTTTTTATCAGGTCAGTTGTTTATACATTTATACTCATTATACGGTATATACATGTTACATTTATCAGTTAGGTGTAATTCGATAGTTGGATTGAGGTGAAAGCGTATTTTTAAAATGCAGTGGGGTAAGTTAGAAGGATTACAGGGAAATTATGCTATATGCAGATATATTTGATGACGTCAGATGATATGAAGCTATTTTGTTCTATACCGGAACAACAGCCATTTTGGTAACGTCGACAACGTTTTACAGGCAGGTTTGAAATACCTTTCAGAATATTAGAATTATAGATTTAATATCCTTAGTGAATGTTGATTCCCTCATTGTGGTTGAATATAGTTACTACAGAAAAAAAATGATTTTAACTTTTTTATTATAGCATGGCAGATCAGCATATATTGGATATGGAACCGGTGGGGACAACAGGAGCAAATGTTGGTGCACTGGCGAGTACGGCAGCACCGTTATCTGGTACTCCATCAGGCTCTCTCGGTGGCATGGTTGGGGGAGGGGATGACCCATTAAGCGGCATTGACGCACCTGATACACCGGGCGATCAGCTAAAAGATATTTTGGATAATGAAGACTTTGATGAGTAAGAACTTATCGTATTTTCTATTGTTTACACGGGAAACATATTTAAATTCATTTTCCCGTCCTTATGTTTACACTGTTGTTTGCCTCAAACATTTTATCGCTCATATTTTAAACCTAATATGAAAGATACTGGTATGAATTTACGTATTGTATAGTATGAGCAAATTTCATGCTTGAGTTGACGCAGTTCCGATTTTATCGCAATATCGGCATAGCTACATTTTAAATAAGATGTGGTTTATTGTATAAATTAATAATGATACTAAATGTTATTATATGAACACATTTAATATCCATTGTGTTCAATTGTTTCAGCTGACGGTTTTCTGCCAACATCACGTGATTTATTTTGACCACGTGATTATTATTTTTATCATGAATTCAACAAAAACAGAGGCACACAACAACACAATTTTGAGTCAAAAATGGGATCGTTTAACATTGTTGCAAGTGTTTCGCAAGTGTTCCACAACAGCAAACGCTTTCTCTTAGCCCTGAATACTGTCCTGTAGGTTGGCCTCTTTCCACTGACCACTCGGCCCCACAGTCCTGAGAAAAAGTACAAACCGGGAATTCGACACTATGTGAAAGGCGTTTTCGGGCGAGTTAGGATGCGTTCAGCTTTGCAGCTAAAAAATAATCAGCAGGTCGATAGTCTAATTATTTTAAATACGAAATTACAGAAGATTTTCCTATCTGTCAACAGAAAATATACGCCGCCATCTTGTTTTGACGTATTTATATACAGAAATATTGCTTTCGTCAACGCTGCAGGTTAAATTGTCGACCATATGAAAAAGTATTCATGAACGCTGATTACAATCATGAAATTGCATGAACGGCTCTCCGCCATAAATGTTTAGCCTGGTGTATAATCCCTGGTTTATACGACTTCTCAGGACTGTGGGGGGGGGGTAGTCAGCGGTAGGAAGCAAAACTACAAGTCTGTACTTGAGGCTAGCTTTCTCTGAGATGAGCATATACTCATCAAAATAATTCCCTTTGTGAATAAATGCAGAATGAAAAATTAAATCTAATACTATGATAAAATATTATTATAAAGCACTAGTATAGTTGAAATGTCGTAAATATGTTAAAAATCTCATTCGTTTCGCTGCAGTATGTATAACATAAAAATATTATTTTATAAAATGAAAGGGGAAAGTACATGCATATATAGTGGTAACTTTCTACTGAATTGTATATCATAATTTATAGACAAATGACCCACGTTTTTAATATTCGGAATTAACAATATATTAAATATAGTGAGTAGTCTCGGATGCGGAAACAATATCTTCTCACATGATTTTGAATTACCAAGTCGGAAAACAATCTGTAAACAATTGAAAACATTGTTCAAACAAAATCTACTCAATTAATGCAGTACATTTCAACCAGGAATAATACAACATCTTCTCGGTTTCAGACATGTTAACATAGTTCAGCATTTGTTTATGCTAACAATGACAAATCTTCCTCTCAAACAATGTACACAAAATGAATGTTTTGAATGAGAATATTGACAGAAAGATATTTATTCGAAATCTCTATTTCATTAACAGACTCTTGAAAGATAAAAAACCTCGTGATGTCATTGAGGATCTCAAGGACAAAATAGTGAGTGAACATAATCGATACTATCACTCACTCGCAATATTTTCAGCAAGTCGCCATCTTAAAACACTGTTATATAACACACGTTAATGAGTAAACATTGTTCTATTCATAGGCTAAACTTAAAAAGAAATTCAAAGGCAAAGGAAAACGTGGAAAAGGCAAAAACAAGAAAAAAGGGTTACCTTTTGCTAATAAAGGTACGGGGAAGACGGGGCGTGGGACGCCAAAGCGACGCCCTAAACCTTCACCTTTAACCGTAGTTGCTTTGATGACTTCCATGGTTGGTCTTGGCGCTGTTGTCGGCATGACTGGAGTGGTATATGCACCGGAGACGGATTTAACAAATTCAACAGGTAGCAACACAGTTTCGTGAATGTGATATTTCTATTTACATCGGGTCGAAGCGACTTCGTAGCCTTCGTCTGTCATTGATGAAAATACAAAAAAATCAAAAATATGAAAAATAGAACATACACAAAATTTTAATTACATCTGTATACTAAATAGCTGACTTGAATAATGTTTTTAGTATGTAAAACATTGGATAGGAATATGGCTCTTTCAAATTTTATTCAATCCAAGATGGCAGCCAAACTCTATGGTCTATGTGGCCAATAGGTCCGAATCAAAGTCACGGTGTTTAAAGTTTCCGGAATTAGAGCTGCTAGCAGTATCACAGAGACTGATAAAATATGTAGCTCACGTGTCAATAATACAGCAACAAACCTCAGACTAGTAATAGACAAACTTGCAAAGCAATTTGTTTAGGTGGTAATCTGGCTTATCTAAAGTCATATGCCTGAAATTGAAGCTTAGCTGAAGATAAAGATATCTAATACTGGCATACTTTGTGTCATTTTTGAAAACTACCATCACGTGTCAATCCCGCAATTACAATTCATGAAACATAACTGAAAGGAAATTTTATGGCCGCTTTGATTTTTTTAAAAAGATGAAAATAATTCGAGAATTGGTCGACTTTGAGTGCTGTCGCTGTTTCATGATCACATACTATGATATGAATATATTTATTTTCAGTTTAATTTTTGTCAAACAGTTTTCACATCTTGCTACTTTTTTATGTCTATTTCATCATATATTTGACTATATGGAGCCTTGAAGAACGTAATTTTGTTTTTCAGATCGGATTAAAAATTGCTGACTGGCGGCCATTTTGGTTTAATGAATTTGGTTCTAGGACCTTATTCTTTGACTGAATATGTTTTATATATTCATTATACATAATGTCATAGATATACAAATGTATTTAGAATGGACAATCAGCTATTTTGTTTTTGTTAATGCTTTTCAAGAGTAATATCTCTCAATATGGACAAGTAACTCATTAGAAGATTAGATACAAGATGACTGAATGTCATTTTAATGTTAAAATTCATCATAATCAAGCATCAGCTTCTGGTTCATATCTCTGACATGTTTATGTTCCAAATATATTACTATAAACAAAACTATATATTATAAATTTGTTAACTAACAGGGACTGTGCCATGCATGCTTTGTTTTATGTCTGTTAACAAACAAGAATAAACTTAAGTACTAAAGCCGAAACTATAAATCGTATTTTAATCAGAACGTAGTCTTAGAGGAGTATTACTTTAAGTATGTTTCAAGCAACAACATAATAAGAGCAAAAATGAGAATAAGTACACAAATGTGCTAGAGGCATAGTTTTTCACTATATATACTAAAGTTGAGCGGGCAACACAGCACAAAGTGTGGTCAATTAAGGGTGTGATATGTTTCCATTAAATACATGTTCAGTGTTTCATTCAAAATAGGAAATTTTAAAAACACAGTGTTCATTCTCGTAATATATTTCACAATATAACTCCTCGAATAATTTGGATTTGCAATTCTTCAATATTTCTTAAATTTAATGTCTGGTGAAAGTAACAGCTAATTCCAGGTATCTTAATTATTACGTAATTTTAAAACTGTGACAATTAACCAAATATGGATGGTTTCGCAAGTGACTATGTGTTTTTTAAACATTGATTTATTTTTTTAAACATTGATATGTTTACGATATAGGTAAAGCGTTGTTACATAAATATTAACTAATGCAATTAGTAATTTGCTAAACGTATTGCATAATATTACGACAAAGCAAGTTATGTTTGCTATTAACGTTGTATATCATGAGTCATATGCAGAATGTTTACCACGATCACTTATAATTAAACAAGGACACGTGATTAATTTAAATATATTTCTAATGATTTTGATTGCACAAGAACTTAACATGGTATTATTTAAATACCATAATAAACAATAATATTCAGCATTATGAAGGGCGTGGCAAAATGCAACTTAGTAAATTAAATTATGCAAACTATGCCTAAGAAACCGCTGTTTTCACTATTGATTGGCAGTATCTATGTTTTTCGTGACAATGGATTACATAATCGGCAGTACGTACAGATTTAATTCAACTATATTATGAGTTAGTACAATTCCAAAAATTTTAAGGGAAGCCATGCCTTTTCTAATTTTTAATTATTGGCGCCAACACATTTGTTGAATGAAATTACGTAAGACATACAATACTCTCAGCGGTGTGGAGGGTCAACCTTAAAACGATCACGTACCTGATTTACGAACTTTATTGATGTTTAACAATCACACAGAGACGTATTCATTTCATAATATCCCTCATGCTGCCTGTAATGAACATTCGATATCGCCATTAACACGACGTTTGACCTTTGTTTATGACAGGACTACAGACAACTTGGATGCCTCCTAGAACGACAGAAAACGTTACACCCTTAAACGTCATCACAATACACGAGCAATCAACAATAAAAGGAAGTGGTGAGAATCTAATTTAAACTCTAACGGGTGATATACTGCATTTGCTCTATTATGCAAATGTATATTTTAGATAATTGTTGAATTATTATAACATGATATTCACGCATACATATTCATAGTCAATACTCGTTTACTCTAGGCACTACTGGATCATTTGGTACAACTACAGAAGGCGATGTTATAACGGGAGGTAATACTTTGATAAATAAGACTACAAATCATGCATACTTAATTCAACATGATATATGTATGTTTAAATACTAGACAAATTATCTTTGTGAACACTGTTTGTAATATGAAATGTCTTAATACTATAATCCGATATTTTTCGGCAACATGCGTTTTTGTTTCAAATCGCATTAAAAAATAAGGATTTCGCTGTTGCTAATTTCTCCTTACCTTACAGTGGCAAGCCTATAAGATAATTTCTCAACTGAAACGTCACTACTGCAATTTTAGCTGTTTGTTTGTAAAGGCATATTATTTATATGAAATAGACGAGTCATTTAAAGTCCCTAATGTGAAAACTTTGAATATAATTGTGTATTCTGTGACAACAAAATATCGAAAACAGTGACAATACAAAGTTTTAACATTACAAATTAGACGGTTCTATACAGTAAACTATACATATATATTATATATTTTATTTGTATTAATATCGCATTATCGAATATGCATTATATAAATATTTAATATATTCAATCCATATTACAGGAGGAATAAGATGGAGATCAGACAAGCGATGTGGGCCAGGGTTCCTCTTACCATGGGGTGCTCCAGCTGAATGCGATCCGAATAGCATTGATTTCTGTTGCTCTGGATCAGGCCGCTGCGGTCACCGATATATACAGTGCTTTTGTTCAACTTGCATAGATTATAGAGGTTAGTGTTAACACAAATAAGGGCATAAACACTAGACATGTGGCAGTTGTACTACTTGTAAAGACATACATGTTCAAAGACTGAGTCACAAGTGGACTAGACAGTCTCATGAAAAGAAACGTACAGTATATACATTATTATTCCTAAATGTAGGTGGTCATATGACTTTTCTAACGGATAACTTCGTTTCCCCAACAGAGTAAATGGAAAGAGGAGGAACGCGATGACAGACACGTGCATGAGCTGAGAAGATGTTAATATGAGCGACATCAATACATCTTTCCAATAAATCGAATTCTCTAGCCATAAATGTGACGTCAAAATGATGAAGATTGGTGTAGATGCAATAGAAAATACCACGTGGGTGTAGTCCACAATCTCTCAAAACAATTTTGTTCACTTTGGTTGTCACATGTCAAAACGATAAGAACAGGGTCCCCACCACCAATGTTCGTCATAGAAGCGCTTTGACACTAGAGGGCGCTACTTATAGGAACGATGTTCTTCATCAAAATTAAGTAGTAACACTTATTCCCATACTCAAAAGAAAATATTTAAAACATATATGCCGATAAAATGTTGCATATTTTAGTAAAAACAACTATATTAAAAATTAACACAGTAGTTTCAATAAATTGGGTGTTGTTGTGTTGTACGTCTTCGCCTCAGACATTATTTGTTCGCTTTATTTCTTCACAAGGCAACATAGTGCGTTGATATGGTGAAATTATTGTCACGGTGTATAAGTGTATGTTTACAGATGACCAACCACTCAGCTTAGATAATAACAACTATATTTCATTTAACAATGAAATATGTTGAACGTTGGTGATTTCTCACTTTATTTCTGGATTTAGAATATGAATGAATATGAAGAGAATAATTGCTTTTCCCGGCGGACTAAGTTATTCTGTTTTTAACACAAATAACAATAACAAGTTTAACTCTGAGATCATTCCTATAGCTGTATTGTAAATTTTATATCATGACGATTGTCTGGATCTACGGTGAAATGAATTAAAACTTCTGTCAATTACTAATTTTGTTTTTAGTGCTTCTGAATGGTTGCGACCGTTTCGGCTTGCCATTTGACTGTTGGTTTGACTGTTTGAATTTCAATCGTTAATGGATTTTAATAGTGGTCTGACATGAATGTAGTCGAAATATTTCCAACTGTTTCGAATTCCTGCACCCTCGTATACATTCATACTCAAATAGGCAAAGCTTAGTCCTATTACATCTTTTTTGAATTTATTCAGAATGGTAGATATGTTTAGTTAATTTATTCCAATATTTTGCAAACTACTCCATTATATATTGGAGTGATTGTAGTGTTTGGCTATATCTATTTATAAATATATTCCTATTTTCGAACTAACAGATTAAAAACGTACGATATGGCCGATCAATAACATCACTAATCGCGTCATCACGGAATCTTCTCTCAGATAAAATAAATCAAGACCAACCAATTCGAGAAAAATACAATGTTTCCCCATCCAGAATTACTATGCTAATTGCCGGTTTTACTGTCACATTAATGGAAAAGTTCACGTACTTGTCCCAGTTAACACATTGGAAACAAACTAAACAACCTTCAATAATTACCGTTTACTTTCCCTGTCAACATAGCAAATTGTTACTTGTATGATGGAACTTAGATTATAACAACCCTATTGGTGGGATGACGTCACTGATCCCAACATCCCAAATGGTTGCTTCAATATAAATTAAAACCGACAAAAATATCGCCGAGATCTCAGTGGAAGCGAGAGAGTCATGGGATTTGTAAACAATACTGCCCGCCCATAGTGTTACATTGTCTTGCATCATCGCCTCCGTTAACTCCTTGACATGAGTCTATGATAGAGGGACTGTGCATGATTTTTGGAACAGAGTAGGCACAACCAATTGGTGGGGGCGTGTATATTGAGGTGAACGTCATACCAAAAAACCTGCGTTATTGTTACATGCTAACACATAGCTTCTTCGTCGACAGGAAAGCTCGTTTTTAAGCTTTCTAAAATAAATCGATTTCTGTACTGTGCGTACTGCTGTGGCTTAGATCAATATATATATATTAGAAAATAACAATATTATAACAATCTTTTTTGTTGTATTAGAGGTTATCTATAGTTAATCTTTAGTATATATTTGTGTGATATACGTGCGTACAGTCGGCCATAGCAATTTGATATACCAACATTTTAGGCAAATACATTGACATGATACTGTGTACAGAAGTCCCTAATTTCGTCAACAACATTTCCTAATAGGACAGTACAGAAATATAATACAATCATCCCCGGGTGCTAGAAAATAAGACTGACACAAAAGGTGTCGAAAGGTGGGTCAGGGCGAGGCAAGTATGATAAATTTCAAATTATCCCCGGAATAAATTGTTTTTCTGTGCTCAGTCATACCTTATCTGCCGGGTTTCCAATGAAGTGACCAGTGGTAGTCCTCAAAAAAGGGGCACAACGTTCTTACAATAACAACAAATATATAGTAAAATGTACTTACTGTTTAAGACTGGTGTTCTCGTCTCGACCCTAGACCCATTGAGAGAGAAGACAAAAATCCAAAACGAAAATATATGTAATGACGAATAAATAGAAAGGGTTTTCTATTTTAAGAGTTGATATGTGGGAGAAAGTTGATTGAGATGGATCTATGTCGTAACACTAATGCTCATCACGGATTCTAGTTTGAACTGCGATTCTCAAGTAAGAGAGATTGTGAAACAAACTTGTTTTGTCTGCATGCTAGTACTATGTCTCTCAAGAACAAGCCGTCTACAGACTCGCCAACGACCAAAGAGATCAGTCAGGTCAAACCCTCAGCCTCATTGGCTAAGTCTGAAAAACGGCTAATGAAGAAATTTCCAGTCCGCCAAAATTCTGCGACATGAACGTAATCGATCAAGACGCATGACTGAAACGCCAGATAGTTTGCTGACTAATGAATATGAGTGTCAGGCGAGACCGTCGTTCATCCCCGCCTTGATCTCAGATGAACTAAAATAGTACCTGTGCTGTTCTCTGACTGGACAAAACGGCGATTGTTCCTTGCCCATACAACCCACGATCCGTAAGAGAGGGCGATAGACAAAAGCCAACAAATTCTTTGAAATAAGTCACCATATTCCGTAAAAATATTGCTTGTGGGCACTCGGAGTAATTGTTTTTTTACCCAGACAGTCTTGGTTAGATAGTGTTATAATTGCTGAGCTTATGATTTAAAAGTATAGGAAAACGAAGCCTGCGAACGTGATTAAGGTAGCGAGAAGGGAAAATTTCACTTTTTTCTTGATTTTTCAAAAATTGATAAAACGGTTACTTTAGACCTTGATACATCATCCCAGGTGTACAAAAGATCGAAATTGCGAAATAACGTTGCTCAAATTAGTGTTTTAAAACACTAGCAGAAAAGACTACAACTGCCGTTTCGTGGATATTTGCATAGTGTTTATCTTTGGAAGGAATTAAATGATAACATTTTATCTGTATACTCTGTTTTTGACGAATCTGGTATAACGGGTGATAAGCTTCCAGTCGCAAACAATGCGTGTTTATCTATCGTCCATTGTCAGCATTACTGTCAGTCGAGACTTCGTCGGAGAAACCATAGACCTTCTATGGAGAAACATGGTCATACAGTACTCATTTCGCCCAACCTTCCGCCCAATCTTACATCGACCGCTTATCCCTTAATTTCCGACCACGCGGTCTTGTCTGACCGGAAACCGACCGCATTTTAATCGCTCGCTCGCACATTGAAAACACCGACCGCTCGCCCAAACACTGATCACTGGCACATGAGTAGTCTAAATGGTGGTTTTGATAGTAAAGTGTGAACATAGGGTACAACTATTATTAAATTCTGAACGCCACTTCAAATCTAAAATAGTTGTATGACACTTGTATCGTGACAGCAACTAAACCGTTACGTGTTCTGTGTGCTTGTTCTAGATGTAAAATTTTATTTTATTTTAACCGAAAGTTTGTTTACGTTGCTCTTTAATTGACAAGTCACTGTTAATATATGCAAATGAGTTGCTTGCCACGGGACGGTGCTACGATGTGTGACTTCCTGTGTGACTTCCTGCGTGATCAACTAGCATCGCAAACTACAAAAAAAGACAAAACGCAGACACACTCACCATGCAAGCGGAATAAAAAAAACATACAGTTGTAACTGATAAATTAAGTAAACTTTTTCACCCTTGTCTCGAAACATGTCGACAATTTCTAGCCTGGCAGCTTCCAGTGGTATACTGTGAAATGATTTGATTATTAATTATATATTTATGGAGGAGGAAGGCCCGATAGCGCGATTTCATTTTCGCGCAAAACAAGGCCACCATTTCCTTTGCTCTCTTGGTGCATAGATTTCAAGCTTTTTCGCATTGTTGGTGAAACTAAAAAAAAATTCCGCGCATTTTAACACTGAAGTAAACAACTTTCACTATAACGATCATCGTGCTGATAGCATTGCGATGCAAATCAAGCACTCTGAGGTGCCATTTGGTTATCTTAATCGGAAAACTCCTGTTATGGTATGTCACCAGAAGATCCTAGAAACTGTTCTTGGTTTTCAGCAGCATTTCGTCTCTCCTACTATCCTTCATATTTATGCTGCTTACACCCTGCTCCATAAGACTACCTCGTTCGCCACTTCTAACTCCATTAATAGATGATTCTCCTCCCTGCAATCCACCATCACTGAATGCTGTTTGATTGTCAATTGCCCTGACATTCTATATACATATACGGTCTGTAGTAATATTGCTTGCTTAAGTCCAGATTACAAAATATGACAATACATATGTTAATACAAAATATTTACAAATATTAAATTAAATTAAATCACTGTGACATAACGATGAAATTGTTTTTCTTGCACTTAGTCCCTTAAAAATAACAGTACACATGTTTCATTATTTACGGATGTTTCTGGAGTGTAATAGTTAAATTCGAGTGCACTAATAATATGCTATTAATCG